ATTCTGCCAGAACACTTCAACTTGGCTGCACAGCGTGTCGTCAAACTACATGGAAGGTTTCAGACAATTTGACACGCACTTTGTTTGAAGTTTGCTTTTGTGTTCATGATTTGTGATGTTTCAAACTTTTAAAGATCTAAAGTGGGAGGCCTGATTGTATTTCAACTGTCATAAAACTGCAACAATATCATGTATTGATCTGACACAAACCAAGAATACTCCATGGAAAATAAAGCAAACTTGCATCTGTCTATTCACTTTGAGCTAAAATGTCAATAAATCTGTCTTGTTACAATGAGAGGCCCTGCAGGTTCAGAGAAACCACCTCCTCCACATTGAGTCCTATGATTAGTTTCTCTATGTGTACTCCGCCAATGAGAGCGTTTGCAGTTGAACTGAAGAAAAAGCAAACAAAGCCAGACAAGAGAGTAACTAAGGAAACAAAATGGGAGCAAGTTCTGGCAATCCTGACTTGGCAGCATGTTATTTCGTCTCTCCGGTTACCTTCAGACGCAGAGGTAAAACATTAAACAGCCATTTGAACTCAAACAGTCATAGTAGCTCAACAGGTTTACCACAAATTATGAATTCCTATTTTCAGGTTCTGACACAGCATCACAATCATAACTCAATATTTCCTTCTGAAATTCTTTCAGTGTTGCAAGGTCTCTGAATAATCAGGGGCGAGTTTGTCAAAAACAACAGTCTTAATCTGTTTATGGAAATTCTTTGGGAGAAACCATAATCCTTTGTTAATCTAGCATCAAGTACTGCATGTGTCCAGTTAACTCAATGCATCCAACATGCTGCCTTTCTCTTTTTTTGTGTACCTACATTGATGCTGTGCAACCTGCTGGAAAAGAAACACAGATCTCAAATGTCAGCGGCCTTTGAGAGAAGCACGCTCTGATGTTTTTCCCCGGCAGTCGGCTGCCTTTGCAATGCAAATGAATGTCGACCAAAGAGGTGATGCAACGGTGATCTGTAACAAAAGCCTATTCAGTTCACTCCGGGGAGATTATCTGTTTTATCTCCTCTGCGAGATTAGAAAACGCTGGCTCCAAAAGCACCGTGTTCACACAAACATGTG